ACCTCTATGCCTAATTTAGTTTGGAAGCTGCACTCAATAAATTACTCATTTCAATTATCATTATTTTTGCTTTATTTTTTATAATTTACTTTTATTTTTTATTTTTGCCTTCTCTGTGGTTGGGCTAACTATAAAAGTCATTAAGTACACAAAGCTTCTTGTCTCATATGCAATTAATACTAGATCTACCTAAAGATGTCTGATGTTTCATTTTGTTGTATGTTGTCTGTCTGTCGTATGCAATAATTAAAGAAAATAGCTTTGAAGCGCCGTTACATAATGGAGCAATAAACTTTATGGTTCCATTTCCCGAAGAATAAAAAACAAGCTTTACCGGTTGTGGCTCCTGCATGTTGGAGGACATTTTGCATAAGGTTAAAGGCTTTGGAGCCTCTTTGTCTGCTATACATTGTCAGTCAGATCAGAGCGTTGTAGAGCCTGACATACAAGCAGGCTATCTGCAGTGATGCATGATACAGGGACTTTGTTGCAGACACAGGGATGAGACAGGAGCTGTGCAATTGAGAGAGGTGAGACAGTCCGAGGCACTGACCGCAGCAGACACACAGGAAACCTGAGATAGAGTTTGTCAGACAGACGGGATGGGAGACAAGCGCTACTGCATAATTAGCTTTGTCTTCATTAGATCTCCTAATGATCTCAGTGGAGACAGCTCCAGATCCAACTGCCACTACCTCTAAAACACTTTTTTCATGTCAGCACAAATGCTTTCAAGCACATCATCCAAATTAGACAAATACACAGGGGCTTTTGTATTGAATTTTGATGGGGAAGCAAGTGCATCCAAATATATGTGCACATATACAAGTCTATGTAAACTGACATGGCCTTTTTGGCTTTTAGGAGGCTCTGTTGTCAGAAATGGAATATAATATTCATAGGTATATTTTTATTTGTGTATAATCACCTGAAAATAAGAATCATTGTGTTTTTGTTACCTAAGAATGAGACGTTTGTATCTCTACAGACTGGGGAGTCCAGCATGTTAAATTAGCATGTTTCCTTTTTCACACATAGTTCCCAGTAAATTACTGGAGTAACCTTTCAGGCACCAGTAGTGATTTTCTGTATTCACCCACATGCAATGCGGGAATAGATGGGGCAAGAGACAGTCTAGCAGATGGCAGTAATGCAACACTGACTGATTCCAACCGCCGTAAAACTCAACATAAGAAGAAGGCCGGATGTACGTGTACATGAGCTACCTTCTTTCTGAATCTGTCCTGTTTCCAGACATTCTTGAAAAACGTAGCTTAATTGCTAACCAAAGAACATCTTGTAGCCAAGGAAGGCAACCACATAAACAAGTCACAGACTGAAATATGCCGTCAGCAGATCCTTGAGATTGGTTTGCTTGCTCCATGTTAAAGCTTCTTTTGTCAGGCAGATGTAATCCTTTTACGGTCCTTTTATGTGCCTGAACATTTCTGGACTGCATATGGGAAGTTTTTGCCATTAAAATGTATACCGTTGATACTGTATGTGGTAGCGGTGTATCTGTTTGATGATCCTCTGTCCCCTAGTGGCCAAAAATCTATGAATGCAGCTGTCACTTTGGAACTTATGGGGGTGTAGCAGGTCGCGCTACAG